GTAGTGTAAAGCATCATCTGTGCAGGTACCAAAGGCAGACCAAAAAGGGAGGTTTTTCTGCCTCTGCACATACCTCCCCAGAGAAAGCCTAAGCACAAGCTGAGGAGAAATGTCTCAGCAATACTTCAGCAGCAAGAGAGAGCTGAGCTGTATCCCTCTGTGCCATTTAGTTCTCCTTTTACTGCATGCCTCCCTAACACTCAGCTAGATAATGTTCTCAAGAGTTGAAGAAAGTTGCTAAGAGAGCAAAAACCTTACACATGGGGCTCAAAAAGAAGACAGCCATGTAATGTGTGGTGCGGAACAGGACTCCAGAGGAGAATGACTTCTTCCTGAGCGTGTCAGTCAGCATGAAATCCTCTGATCATGAGGCAGTATAAGCCTGTTCTGTGAATGTCTTCTTTATGTATAAACTGATATTTTTATTACTCATTTCTTCATCTGATCATTTAAATTTCAATTAAGATGTCTCAAGAAATCAAATCCCATTCTACAAGTCTAAAAGACATACCAGGAAGATCTGTGTTTCATCTGACCTCTGAACTTGTTAGTAGTTCCTCTTGTTCATGCTTTTTGCACAAATAAGCAAGGGGAGGAAATGAGAGGTTTAGGAGACCAGAGGATCATTTCCCAGGAAGAGATCTTTTGTGAATGGGTGCAAGGATGCCACTGTCCCATGAAATCCACAGCAGCTCCTGTTGCTCACTTTCTCCAATAACTCCAAGCAGCAGAATACACCTGGGTATACAACAACGCTTCTACACGTGACTTCACCTTACGCTATGAAAAGAATCAAAGTTCTGTTTTAAGCTTTTGTCCAAAAATTAATTGGGATAACTCAGTGGTAGGAAAAAAGCAACCTTAGATATAAATGATGCTTTATAAGAGATAATTAAAACGTATAAAAGTCAGGAAATCCAAAGCTACTGTTCCAAATTTACTGTAACAAAGCTACGTATCAACTTGAAATACTTTAAACTAGAAACTCTCAAGTGCGGCACCTGACGATTTTATGTGGGAATACTATGCAAAATGTATTCTTATTATTCAGGTACATGTTTTCTAATATCATGTAATTGCGATGGTCACATGTGCAAAAAGCAAAAGAAAACTCTCAGAGAATTAGTGTTCCAAACCGTTTTGATCACTGATAAGCCTATGTCTTCTTATGAAAAAGTTTCTGTGGGAAACCCAGCTTTGCATTTCCTGTATAGCCAGAATGTAAAATATATTAACTGAATTATGTCAACGAGCAGTTTGATATCATGGGGAGAGAACTATACTGGTGTTAAAATAGACCAAAAGCAAGAGTTCTGAAGAAGAAATGAAAAACTTATATAAGCCTCTACAGGACAAACATTTGCTTGTAAAATACCATAACTATATCTAACTGATTTCATGACTTCAATTTCCAAGATATTTCCTCAGAAGGTAGTCAAACTCAGGCACCAAGACAGGCCATGCAAACTATTCCTACAGCTCAGGTTTGGTGAAATAGCTCTGTTTTGCTCCACTAACCGCAGTTTCCACTGTTTCGGACAGTCTTTAGCAAAAGTCTTATCAAAATCCAGTCCAAAATAAGAAACAGCAGGATATTAAATAAGAAGTAAACTTTCAGCAATAGGTAAGTGTTTGTCCAAAGCAGTTCCATGAAAAAAAAATACAGACCTTTAGCCTTATCCTAATCTTCTTCCTTCCTATTGAAGCATCTGTTACAGATTTGCCTCATGGCACAATAGTTTAAAAACCCTAAGAGCAATTTCTGGCTAAGGAAGAGAGACAAAAGAAATATTTAATTATATCTATATTTTCAATATTACAATTTTCAATACAGCGTAATGCCAACGTGAACAAAGAACAAGTCCATTTTCCGCACTAGAAAACTAAAGATCTGGAAGTTTTATTTTTATACAGATTGTTTTAAGGGCTTCTTGCTCTCTATTCATTTATTGCACAGACCATCTCCTCCCACAAGCAGTTGTGCAATCTCTCTGTGGCAACAAAGCCAATCACTTAGTCTCTTACTATTTTTTTTTTTTACCTCATGTACTTATATCTGTCTGAATATAATTCAGTAACTAGAGATAAAAAAAATAATTATTATCATTAAGTTGTGCTCTCGAGGTCACATTTTGAGAGCGTGCTGTAGAAAAATAATTAAGTGAAGATATACACCTACCCCTTGGTTCCGAGCTGCTTGTATTAAGGTTTAAAAACACTCTGCAGTCAAGCATTGCCACCTGTTCTTTCATTTTAATTTAAGTATTTCATATTATGTTAGTGGAAACCTGAAAAATGTTTGCATTCTGGAAATATGTACATTCACAAACCACAACAATTATTATCATATTAACTTTATGAAGATACATGGAAAAATGGCATAAAGATTAAAGGGTATTATAAAGCCAAAAAAACTTATGCATGTACATTATATGCTACAAATATATGCTTTCAAACCACTGTCTCCACTATGTCTAGAGAAGGCACGCATTTCAATTAATAATACATCCAGGCTTTATTTTCAGTTGTAACTTTCAGGAGACATTACCCTTTCAGGCATGATACTTTAACAGTCCTACTGAACTTCAACTTTCATTAGAGGACATCAATCAACTTTCTTTCAGTAAAAACATATGTTCAGTGCAGACCACAAAAAATTCTTAAACAACAAAAGAAAGCTCTATCATATATGTGTATTTATGCCCACAGACAAAAGATGAATCAAACCTTGTCATGCATTTATCAATTAAATAAAACAAACAAAAAAAATGTTCACATGCAATTCTAAGTCCAAAACAGTTTCTCTTCTGTCCTGCCACCCTGACTTCACACTTCAACTGGTTTAATAAGCAGTACAGTTAACTCTAAGCAGTACAGTACAGTTAACTATTCAGTAACAGACGTGCTTAAAGCGTATTTACTTAAACCCAAACATGCTTATCATGTTGCAAGTTTTCATTTTTCTTTCCAACAATTCTTATTAACTTTTATCCTCAATTTTTTCACCGATTTAAGCTTGATGTGGTGAAGCTTATGTAGACAAGACCTTCTGGTTAAAACTGACAGACAGTCGTTTCCATTTCCAAACCCTTTTGATTTTCATTGGCTCATTAAATATGTATACTATGAATGAGATTTAAATTATCCTGCTATATAAATCATGCTTTTTCGGTTCCTCCCAAGAGCAAAGACTACTGCCATCTTGTGGTAAAACATTTTGGTCTGACACACAGACACACTTGGACTGCACCCAAATATCTTGTTGTTACAGTACTGGCAATTTTTTTTTTTCAAGTTAAGTTTTTTAAATTTTTTTTTTAAAGTTAAAAAAAGTTATTTTACTCCATTTCCAGCCCTCTCTAACTTCCTACTCAACGATACAGGCTGGAAGTGCTGTCTTGTTAAAACTTAAGAACCAAAGCTGAGGTGCAAAACCATGAGGTGTTGTGCTAAGAGTATCCTCACTTCACTGCTCCTCTCGGATGCTTAATAGGAAGCAGCAGGGTGGAAGAAGATAAGGAAGATTCCTGCAACTACTAGTAAAGAAAACTGCTCTTAAACTGGGGTACAGGTCAATTCTGGAAGCCAGCTCTGCCAATATTGTTGTTTTTTTTTTTTTTTTTTTTTTTTGCAATTTAGAGGCCATATGCAATTTATTGGGAATTCAATTTCCCTAGACAGTTTGGATTTTCTGAATACCAGAGGAAAAATACAGTTCTTCCTACTGGAGGAAAATTCATTCCAATACTTTCCACCAATTTTAAAAAATGGAGGCTAACTCTTATTAACATTTTAATAAATGAAGTCCTTATATACCAACTTTAAGAACACATGTTGATAAATGTCCCTACAATAAAACATATACATGCACAAACCTAAGCTTTGACACTTCATTTCTGTACGCTTTTCTACTTACTAATTGTGCATAGAAGCTAAGTTTTACATTATTCATAACTTTCTTCTTTATATGTAAACCACAGTTTTGAAATTAGGTTCCAAGTGCCATGACCACAACATTGGCCCAGGGCTTTTCTTTCTGCTTACAAAAAGTTGAAGCAAAATAGTTCCATCAAAATTATAATTCAATTAGATGTCTTAAAAAATTAAAGGGAAGAAGTTCAAAGAATTATTTCAAAAGGGCTGGAAGGAAGAATTTGTCTATACTTGGGTGGAGAAATGATAATTGCATATATTACAGACAGGATAAAAATTCTGTTTTTAGCACCTAATATTAAAACTGCTATATATCTCATTTACCACCTCCACAAACGTACTATCTGCTAAAACAACTACGCACGGCAATACTATGCACAGAGCATGTTATTCCCACTGACTTGACCTACAATAAATACAAAATACTCTCTGCCTCCCATGCAATATCATTCATACTTTAACAAACATTGTTAAATAATCTCTAAAAATAGCATGGCTATGCACAGATAATACATAGTGTCCTTCACAAAAGAAAATCCGTATCTGTTACACATTAGCTAGAAGCTCATACCCAACCAAGCCATTGCAACATTGGAAATGCTCTGCTCTTTTCACATTTGCATGACCTTAACTTTGTATTAGCTTTCAGTTCTCCTCTAGTACCCCTGCATTTCCTCATGTGTATGAGCCACTGCCATCTACTACTACTTATGAATATGTTTGCTGAACATCTTTCTATAATGCAATTACAATTCAGTTGACTACGTAATATGCATATTTTAAAACTCTTGGCAAATAAAAATTTAAATAAGTACTTAAATGCAAGGATCCTGATGACTTATTTACAGATAGGTACAGTACCAACTCTTTCCGTGCACCCCAATGAGATCATAACTATGTACACAGATTTACAAATGCTGTACGTACTCATTAGAAATCTTGGGGATTTGGTACTAAAAAAATAGAATGCTAAGAATCACAACTTTATTGGGAATGAGTACAGAGCAACACTTAAAAGTGTTGTGCTTAACTGAAAGAACTGTGTTTGCTTAATGATATTGGTTTACCTTCTTGCTGCTTCTCTTCAGACTTAGATCTCACATGAATAACTCGGGGTCTCACAGGCTCAACTTCTCCAGCTCTTTGGCTTCCTTCCTGCACATCACATATTACAAATCACGTTACAAATCTGATTTTTGATTTAGGAGTAAAATTTCATGGAGCTTCAAGAAATATTCAAAGAGATCTTTAAAGATTCCTTAAAACATATGCTTTTGTTCTACCTTCTTTCAACTTTAAAAGAATTCAGACCAGAATTACCCTATTGCAACTCTGTTTCCTCTAGACTAACATCCTGGGAGCAGTAGGGATGGCAACGTGCTATTTAGACCTAAGGCACAAGAAACCCTCAATTCCTACTCAAAGAACATGGCAGGAAGAACTTTTAAGGATTTTCCCTGCTTTCTCACCATACTCATACCCAGGACTTCCCCAATCCTCCTGAATAAGAATCGTAAAGGAAAAGAAAAAAAAAAAAAAGTTTAGCACATAGGTTGGAAAACCCATGACAAGTAGAAAATCTATTTCCTTGACTGTGTTTTTAAAACCCTTTCTCTCCTCCTGAAATTGTCTTCTGGACCTATGTCTGCCACAATGCCTATCAGAAAGCAGTTACTTAGGACCAACAAACGTTCTGAATGTTAAAAAAGACGACATCACATTTGTCAAATATGCTTGTTGTCTTAGGCTGTTAACTGTTTGCGACAGAAATTGCGGCACAGTAACATTCCACTATAATGTACTGAGGAGCCATGAAACACATACAGCTGAGTCGTGAAAATGACTTTAAGCTTAAAGATTCTCCAAGGTAGACAAATTTGATTTCATCAGTTACTCTGCTGATTCCATAGATGAATATAAGCTTTTTAATGAAGCCTCTTAGAGAAGGAGGAACACTAGAAGGGTCATAAATTTCTGCACATCATACAGCATTTGAAGCCTATGAAGCACTACTGCATGACTTTCAAGAAAATTATATGCCTTAGAAAGCAATGGCACAGGTATACTCTTGAAGACCTGATAGCAAAATAGCTATGGTATCTGGCGTCTAAAAGCTATAAAAAGCACAAAAGAGAAAGTATAGTTCAGTTTTGCAAGAGAAAACCCTCCACAACATAGGCCTCAAGTGAAACAAACACTCAAAAATACAGATGAGAACATTTCTATCCGGCAAACAAAAAGCATGGAGCCAAGTAAGCAACCAGGACTTCCCATGTCTTTCAGCTAACACCTGTATCGTATGATAATGGGAATTTCAATGGAAAAGATATTGCTTATCATGCAGTTAACGCATGATCGTTTCAGCCGGTGTTGCAGAAATCAGGAGGAACAAGAAAAGATGCCATTTAGTCGCTGCCCTTTTCTCAATGGCGGTATGGACAACATGGATATTTACACGCTCCAGTGAATAAAGTGCAGAGATGCCCACACTAGTAAACAGCATGTTATCTCTGTAACGAGCAGCAGCATAAACCTCACCAGCACAGTGGTGAGCCAAAGCCAACAAAAGTGATTACACCTGCCCTGAGGTCAAGCTCGCATCTCCCAAAGGCAACATCTGCGTGGACACGCCAGCTAGGATTTACCTCAGGCATGTCTACGCACCATGATGTAGACCTGCACTGTTCAGCATAATTTAAAGTTGACAAGATAACACGGTGACTTTCTGAAAGCAGGAAGGTCTAGCTTTAAGGCAGGTGGAAGTATGATTGAAGGACATCACTATCTAAAGGTCACCAACATTACAGGACATTAAGTGTAAGCAGCATAACAGTATACCCATGAGCCCTTTTGAGGTGGGGGTTTTTATTGAGATTAACCAAAAAATAGTTTAAACTCAGCTGAGGTGCAAACAGAAATTTAGAGATAACTCACAGATTCATAACCTACAATTATGCATTCCTGGAAGATGAAAAAAACATCTCTTCTGAAATACTAAAAATGAAAGCTAATGAGAATATCAAACTGACAATCCCACTTAAAAAATGTTGATTATATAAAAACATTCCTACTTATGTAAGAGCAATATGAAAATATTTTGCAATTAACTGATTCTCTAAGAATTTAACAATGCATTTGGGACTTAGAGTGATTTAGATTTACCATCGTTGAAATGTTTAGCCACACAAATATGATTTCAACGTTCATGTCTCTCCCATGAGCAAAAAATGATTCATTTAGAGCAAGAAGAGTCCACCTTCCTCCTTGCTATTTTCTTGCTTCTTAGAGCAAAGAGTATAGGGGCAAAGGGGCCACAAACATCACTTAATTCCTCTGTTGTTAAACAAAAACAGCCATAACAGGTCAAACCAAAGACGCATTTAGTCTGGCATCCTGTCTAACAGTGGCTGAAAGCAGATATAAACCTCACAAAACAAGTGCAATCCCAGAAATGGAGGAACAACCAAGAAATTTGGGTAAGTAAGAAAATTCCTGTGTGACTTAGGATATTCATCTTGGAGTGAACGACCACACAGACTTCATTCTTCGTGACTAAAAGGGATTTGTCTTTGCCCTACAAGAAAAGACAATGCACATCCTGTTGCTCAAAGTCTGATCCATACGCCAGTACCAGGGAGCAAACAAGTGCTAAGTATATGGCTGCTCCACGCGGCTGCCCACAACCTCTCTGAAGAGGATCCTATTCAGACGGGTTACAGAAGCCATCCTAGCTTTGGCAAAACAAATTCTAATGTCCAGGAGTGTCATTCTGAATTAAATTAAAGCTCCACAGAATCCAAAGCTGGATGCCATCTGAAGCAGTATGTGGTTTTCTCGGGCCTCTCAGCAAACACCATTAAAAGCCTTGTTTTGCTCCTGAAGGGATTGGTTGTCTCACTTCATATGTAGCTGATACAGTTTCATTTCAATCAAGGTAAAACGCTGGCCAGAGACAAAAACTAAGAAGTCACTGATGTGAGACTCAGTGACTAACTTGGGAAGAACTCTTTTAAGTGTAAAGTGATTATGGCCATGAACATTACATAGAAGGATTTATTCAGAAAGCTGGAGCATCCCCAAATCTCAGAGATTTTCTGTTATCCTAAGATCAGCTTTCTCATAGACAGAGGACAAAGCAGACCTAGCCATAAACTCAATACAGAAGTCATCCTTAAGGAAAACTAAGTGAAAAGTTTATCATTGTTACAAGGTATATATGTGCTTTTGAAACAAGCTTTCAAATTATCCTATACTAAGGGTTTGGGGTTTGTTGTCGTTGTTTTGTTTGTTTAAGGACCCAAAGAAACATCCTGAACCTTGCTGGTAGTCTGGGATGAAGCTCAGCTTCGTAATTATTGGTTCAGTAGGCAAACTGTTTGTGTGCAAAGAAGTTCTGCCGTAGTGCTGATGAAGCAAAACAGAACCCTGCCTTTCTGCTTATAGACAAGGAAGATTTAATCAATCATCTCAAAATCTGCTGGGAGGAAGAGCACTGGTGACTGGTGTAGACCCTGGAGACCTATGTGAAAACACTGCCAAGTTAGCGAATGCCAGGACTCATGAACAGCTGTTCAGAGAAATTAGGTGACATCTCAATATCTTAAAAAAAAAAAATTAAAAAATCCAACATCTGGAGCTTTTTGGAGGATTTCCAGGTCTACTGTCTCCTGCACAGAACTTTTCAGGAGGAACAGTTTCAACTTGCCTACTTGCTATCCACGTCCTTTCAGAGAAGGAGGTTCAGATCTACTCCTGGATCTTATGCAACACAGCTTTGCCCCACACAGGACAGAAGTTGACCGTGGCTACCATGTGGCACGGTCACATCACACAAAAGTTAAAATCTACCTCTTGAGAAGCAGTGGTTTAGAGTCTTATGTCAGGAACACCTAGGTACAAGAAGAGATGATTGTTTGCGGAAAATAAACAGAATCACAAAGTTTGGGGTTTTGTTTATAGGAAGGGAGAGTTTTATATGCCAGCAGGCAAAAAAACAAACAAAATCAAACCCACACTAAGGTTTCAGATGCAAGACAGTTACTACAGATGAGATAATATACAGCTATCTGTGTATTTATTCTTTTCCTCTATGAAAAACAACTGAGCTATGTCTGATCACCTTACATTCCTTGCACAGGTTAGACTATCTACCCAGATCAGGTTAAACATGGTAATTATCATTTGCCTGTGCCCAGGCGAACAGAAACAAAACCTAACCACATTAGCTACATCTTCAGAGCAGGTGATGCAGATACCACTGGGTTCTTTATTACAGCTACTGGTACTACAAGAAGTAAACATATATTTTACTCCCTCTGTCCCTGTTATTTTTGGCTAGCGAAAGATAACAAGGATACAGACATCACCCCAACAAATAGCTGTTTAACAGAATCCAATCTTGCCTATGAACAATCACTCCAAGAAATAATACACCCTGGCAGTCTCAAAGTAGAAGAGGTATAATATTTCAAATCCTCTTCAAAGATGCAGCACATCACTTAAGATGACATATTTAAGAACTGATCAGACAGCAGTGGCACAGTACACATCAAGGCTCAAAAACAAAACCAAAGACAGGTAAATTTAGGCTAGTTTATTAGGCTATATTAGGCTATAGAATGATTTAGGCTATTTTTAATGCAGAACATCAAAGGGCAGAATGCATCCATGACCATACCAACCACACAGTAAGTATACTATTAGTTTCAAACACATGGTGAAGCTTAACATACTAAAGAGCAAGCTGACATCTCCTTTTAGCTTTTGTCACTTGCTACTTGAATTTACCTTCAGTTAATATGAAAACCATCACCTCTAAGTAACTGCACATACTAATAAAGCAGCAAAAGATAAACTATGAGTTTCAAGCAGAGATCAACAAGATCTTCCTCTACCTTCAACTGTTCTGAGGTGCATCGTCATTACTGTTTTTCAAGCCCTGCTCCTACTACGGCAACCGAAGCTCCTGAAGAGCTAAATCAGTGGGCTACAATGGGTGAGGTAGCATCTCTATTGCTGTGTCCTTTCCCATACACTTTCCGTGACACTGTTGTGGGGGTTTACTACAGGCCACCTGATCAGGAGGAAGTCATCGATGAGGCCTTCTACAGACAGCTGGAAGTAGCCTCACGATCACAGACCCTGGTTCTCATGGGAGATTTCAACCACCCTGACATCTGTTGGCAAGACACCACAGCTAGGCACAAAGAGTCAAAGAGGTTCCTGCAGAGGATTGATGATAATTTCTTGACTCAGGTGGTGGAGACACCAACAAGGAGAGGTGCAATGCTAGACCTTGTACTAA